GACTATATTAAACAGTAGAATGCACAGGTCAGTCAAAATTACACATTTATGTACATTATTGATATCTGTCACTCACATAATCTCCTAACCTACCTATACTTTTCCTCGTTTGAAATGCACCGATATGACACAGGATGCGTTCCTTTTGGACGCTTACACGCTTAAAGGTGCCTTTTCATGCGAACGCCCATTTTCAGCGTCAAAAGATATCACGTGACCAAAAATAAAAATACCAATTCGTTAATTTTGATCACGTGATCTGTTTTGACGCCAGAAATGAGCGTCGAGTATCGACATCATATATATAGTACTCCTATATTGCCAATTCTGTAGGAGGAATGAGCGAAAACATTACGGTGCAGACGATAGCTTCTCTCTCGCACGGTTATCCGACGGTAGCACTTTGCGCATGCGTCAAATATATATATGGCATATATATGACATGCTACCGTGCGAGAGGGAAGCTATCGTCTGCACTGTAATGTTTTCGTTCGTTCCTCCTACAGAACTGGCAATACAGGAGTACTATATATATCAGCGTGAATTCGCACCTTAGTGTAGTCTATAATGGAACCTTAAAACGTAAGACTTAAGAAATTAACTAATCATATTCATGATTCTTTTTAAAACTCAATTGTGATTGATTAACTTCTTAAGTGTTACGTCTTAAGGTCTCATTGTAGACTACGCTTTAAAGGGCCGTCTACAATAGGCGTTGTAAGTTGTAGGCTGCAAGAAATTATCCAATCACAGTTGACCTTAGAGAAGAATATCGAACATCATTGGTTAGGCCTGTTCTATATAGAGTCGTATGTCGCAAGTCGTAAACAAATCGACCAATCACAGTTAAATTTAGAAAAGAATAATCCAATCAGACGACGTCCGACATCCGACTTACGACATGTATTGTAGACGGTTCTTAATGTGGCGTCTACAATGAGATTTTGAGGCGTAAGACTTAAGAAATTGACCAATCACAGTCAAGTATGAAGAGAATACTCGACTGTGATTGGTCAATTTCTTAAGTTTTACGCCTAAAAAATCTCATTGTAGACGCCGCATAAAGCGCGTATAAGTATTACTTATACACTGCATCCTGTGTCATATCGGTGCATTTCAAACGAGGAAAAGTATAGGTAGGTTAGGAGCTTATGTGAGTGACAGATATCAATAATGTACATAAATGTGTAATTTTGACCTGTGCATTCTACTGCTTAATATAGTCTTGTAATATAGTCTGTTTTCAAATCTGAATAGTGATTGTTCTTTGAAAATATTGATATATGCATTCATATATACATGTATGTACACTTTAATCTCAGGTGCAACTGTCAGCTCATGAAAACAATTGTTTTGTTGGAAAATCGTGCATTTTATCTCTTAGTTGAGCTGATAATATATCTGAAAATGTACGGTATAACGTAATATTTTCATATACTGTGATATACAATGTGAAAATGTGAATTGCAAAGCCAGACTTTATGTTTGTCTCAGGTGTAACTTCAGCACCTGTAAATATTTATTTATTGGACAGCCAGGTGTCTAATTATTTAGCTGGCTGATAGTCCACTTGAAATATATATTATTCATGTCACACTTATACATAGTGTTGCACAGCATGAAATATATGTAGCGAGATTAAAATCTTAATTGATGTGTGGTACACTGTGTTCATTCATTATTACTATTAATTGCACAGTTTTATGTGTTGTTATTAATGTTATGTTGTATTAATGTTATGTTTAATCCAGAGAAATGTTTATTTATTATATAATTAGTCATGATTAATTATAAAATCAGAATAAAGTTAGCCTTCTATATATGTATATATATGTCAGGTTTAAAAAATATATATATGTATATATATAAATGTGATATTAATTTGCTATAATTGACTCAATATTGTTATAATATATTATTGATTCTTTCTCTGGTTTTTCAGATGATGTTCTTATTGAGAAGTGTGTTGAATGTCTGTCTGTCTGGTGTCATTACATTTTACAAGTTGCTGCTTTGATTCAGGTATCAGATTTGGTCGATACATGTTTACTGGGGATTGCTAATACCAGATGAGTACAAATACGCAAACTTATGTCTAATTAGAAAATTTTAAATGAATGTATACATGTGATTTCTAATTTAATTGCATACATATCTGCGTTTAATATATATTAAGTGTTTGTATATGATAGTAAATTTCATTTTCTTTAATCATCATTTAAAGATTAAATTAATATTTTTAATCTTAAGGCTTCTAATTAAATTGTCATGTGCGTTTACTCATTGTTTTGAGTTAATTATGTTAATTTATAATATTATAATCCCATTT